GTGACATTGTAAAAGCATATAAACATGAATGGTGCTAAACATAATTCCGTCAGTAGTTCCCTAATAGTTTGTTTCTCAAACAAGCTCAAACATTTGTTTTGTACAGAGCACACAGAGTTTGCATTTCTGTTATTACTTGTATACATAAATCAAGTTAATTTTTTATGCAAGCAAGTAATTGATTCAGCAAAGTTTCTAATTATAAATAAATGTAAATTGGATGGTTGTTTGCTGTATATGTTTCCTCATAATTAGTGTTGGTAATTACACTGTACTTTGTAGGAAATTTGTACAAAGAAGCTTAAACAAATTGTTTACATTTCATGTTGTAAAATGGATGTTTAGTTTTGTGGCATGAATGTTTTAAAGTCGGCTTTTATTTATTTATTTGCTTTTTAACATGGAAAAAGAAACAGGTAACTCTTCCTCAATCTGTTCTTGGACCCTTCAAAATATATTTTTTAATATATATCTGCCATATTTTGCTCCTCCCACAAAACTACAGCTAAAAGAAAGTTTTTGTATGGGTTGTTATAATTTGATGTCATGCGATAGGAGTTTAAAACTTAATCAAGGTGTGATATCAGAATAAAATACCTTGTACTCACTTGATACAAAGGTTATTCATTGCTGCGCCTGATATGATCCTGTATACACACTTTACTTGGAGTGTTAGGGTAGGGAGTGTCAAAACAATACGTGGTGGGAATGAGTGTTTCTGCTGCCTGCCATCTCACCTTTATTTCTGCCCCTAAGGTGTCACATCACTCCTGAGAGGTGGGAGATTGTTGCTGACAGGAGATCAGCTCCAAACTTTGTTTGTTCAGAGCAGACTCGAGTTTTTCTAAATCTAAATCAGAACTTTTCAATCTTGGGTTCCATGCAAGATTTAACAAGTAGATTTAATTGATGTCACGTAATATTTCCCACGATAACAAGGGAAGTGTAGGACAGAAAAAACACTCTCTGGTCGGGTGATGAGTGATGAAGCTGACATCTCCTTTTCTTTCTCCCTCCCTGTTGCCCATACTCTTCCCATCCCCCTTCTCCTCCCAGTGGGCCCTCACATTGGCAGATACTGTGGCCAGACGTCCCCGGGCCGAGTGATCTCCTACACGGGCATCCTGTCCATGACCATCACCACTGACAACGCCATCGCCAGAGAGGGATTCTCTGCCAACTACACTATCCGCGAGAGGACCCTCCCCTCAGGACACGAAGACGAGGGTGAGCAGCTGGATTAGTGAAAGGAGTGCGCGATGCGGAGGGCAAAGCTGTCATCTGGTTCACTTCTTTGATATTTCTGGTCTCATAGAGAATGAAAACAGAGTAAATATGAGCCAGTCTGTAGTTTCAACTCAACCTAGTTGTCCTTGAGCACGAGGAAGTAGCTCCTCCAGCTCTGCAGAAGCCGGACTCTATCCGCTGTCTGACCTCTGACCTCTGTGTTGGAGGCAAGACAAGCAGAATGAGAATGTATCCTTCAGGGGCTAATATCATGCAACAAAGGATATAATTAGACTTTTCCTACATTTAGAGACAGAGATTTAGAGTTTTTAGTTATAACCAACTTTGCCATTAATTATTCTTGTCATCAGTTAATCATTTCATGATCCTTTTAGTCAGCGAGATCGAAAGCAGCTAAAGAAAAGTCAATAAAAGCCCCAAAAAGACACTGCATTATAAAATAACTATTAATGAACTATTAATGCAGTTGAATAATTAAGTTAATGGTTGATGATCAATATTTGCTATAGTCAGCTGTTGCATTTTACAGCTTAAAGTCCATTTGTTGTGGTTGAAGTCTAACAAATGGACCAAAAATACTGCTTCCCAACTTTTGGGCTTATTTTCTGATAAAGCAATTTATTCTCCTGACAGCTCATTCAAATAGTGTTCCCATCTAAGACCCGTTTATTTTAATACATGATAGCCTCCTGAAACTCGGCAGTATTTAACAAGAGTGGTGCATAGATGTGGGTAAGATTATATATTACATGCTGTGTAGCTTAGATATATTTTCTTTCCTTTTAATCAAGTCGTGGGATTTACGCACGACTTAGTAGGGTGTGGTTGGAGATGCTGCAGAATTGTCGATAGCTGTTTTCTGAGTGACTGAAAGGACAAATTTGAGTCTTTAGAATAAATACAACCAATCTTGCATATTGTTTTTGTAAGTGAGAACTTACCAGAGAGGTGTTTTCTGAGAGATAAAACCGATAGTTCTGTGAGTTATTTGCAACAGCTGTGATAAACGACTCAACTTTAAATGAACCGTTACCATCAGACACGTGAATGTAATCTTATCACATGGTTGCTTTTAAATTAATTTCTTTTAGCTTTTATCTCCAATTCACTTGATCAATTTCCCCCATGAGGATACTATCACGAGGCGAACGTTCCTCATGCTTGGTTATTGTCTTTTTCGTGTTTGTTCATGTCCACGTGTTCGGGACAGAAGCCGTTTGTCTGCGTCGGTTGACTGTATGACCTTGCTGGAATGCCTTTAGAGGTTTAAGTTATGCTGGCCTGTATGCTAACTGCACTCTGGTAACCCTGACCCCGGTCACCCCTCTGTAGGAATGTGTGTGTGTGTTCAAAGGTGAGTTTCCTTAAGGTCCCTCAGTGGCGCTTTAGGAGAAACCGATGTAAAATACTCAGTTTGCTCTTCCAAATCGATCTTTAAGTGTTTTTTAGGGTAAGATTACCGGCAGCTGCACACAGAGGCCGGTGTTATTTTTTTATATAAAACCAAAATAACTGGTTATGTCAAGACAGGAAATATAAACACACTTGGAAATGGTCAGACACAAATAGTTTTTGGCCAAAATCACAAGCCAGTTATTAGATATTTTGGAAGTTTTGAGAAAATGAAATTATCGATACAGAGAAAAGTCAGAGCAATGTCCGTGTCTACACGTAAATGTTAAATATTTGAATTTTTAAGAGAAAAAGTACAAAGTCTCTCGGTTTATTGTTCCAAATTTTGAGGATAGTCTTGTTTTAAACCCCTTTAACTCCAAAAGTGATGTCATGATGAACAGATCACACTCACTCTAAGGGAAATATTTCTGTAACCAAACATGTAAATCACGAATTTCACCAGAGAGTCAAAGTTGTTATCACCATTTTTTTTTTTAGTTTTTCACTCCTCATGTTTGTTTTTGCTGTGGGCGGAAGATGTGGGTGTTGTCAGCTTGTATCTGATGTTGATGGTGAGCATTCGAGACAGTGCAATAATGCACTGATGTGCATGTATCAGATATGTCAATTGGTATTTAAACAGTAACGATAAGTCGCTTTACTAGCTGAATTTTCTTTTTTAGGATGTCTGACAACAGCCCTGGGTTTAGAAAAAGGCTCGCACACAAATATACACATACACATGGGAAATTACTTCGCCTGCAGACCGTCGGCTAGACTCAGCAGATTGAATCAAAGCTTCTCACCAAACCAAATCACATTGTCTTTTCTGCAGTTTTATACAACCAGGGTTAGCTACTCCTGCAGCAGGGGGTAATTCAGCAGTTGCCAAAGGGGTGCATGGACACATTTTAGGGTAGCTCAACTGCTCTGACACTAATAAAGATGTGTACTAAATAAACCTTGTGATACAGACGAGAACACCAGCTGAGAAAC